ATCAAAAAAACCGCGATGATCGCTCCTCGTCCCATTCTTGCATGGTACACACTTTGAGCCCATAACAATTATAACTACTACTATCAAACGTGAGCTAACGCAGTGCATACTAATGATCTAAGAGCTTAATATTAATTTTTGTTCATTTTATTTTTATTTTTATTATTATTATCGTTAGTTTTTTCTTTGTTTTCTGGTACAGCGTATTGTTTTTGTTGTTATTATTATTATTAAAGGTTACAACATGCAATTAATTTGTTGCACTCAGCAGTTGTGCTAGTATATTATGACTTCACCTCCACAACATGGAACGATCATTAGCACATATGATATAGATTTGATGAGTGGACTTTAACGATAATATTTTTATGGTTTAACTTTGGAAGCATTATAAATTAGCAGTTATAATGATACCCAGCCCACGTTTTTAGATTATTACAAATCGAATACTTAACAGAATCCCACAATTTCATCGGTGGTCGGGTTTCGTCTCGATTGAGTTTTAAATACGCCATTGTGAGTGATTAGTACAATCATCAAGGATGAATAAGTTAAATTTTTATTTTTTCACTCGAACAGTATAGTAATATGGAAAAAAATCCATTTGAATCAATTTAATTTTTGTTCAAATTGTCTTTTTAATATTTATGTTAATGTTATTATACAAAAAAAAAAAAAAAAGAATAAAAAAAAAGTATATTCGGCAATAATTATCAATATTATAATATGTCAGTTATACGCTTGCTGGGGTGATACGGATACAAAATTTTATAATTTGTGGTTCTCGAACATATTTACTAACTCAATAACTAAAAAATATACTCTTTGAATTTAATTAATTCAGATGTGCCTATAGAGCCACTAGACTTCTTTTACTAAGCTCTAGGGCTCTACGGAACATAGTTTGAGAACCACTAATCTATGTATTATTATAGTTATTCGTCTTCACTAAATTATTTTTAAATTATGATCACTGCGAACTTTTAATTTAAATAACTTAAAGTATAAAATAATGCTACTTAATGTTTGATTGAAATTTAATTTAAATTACTTTTTATAATATTATTAAATCTTAGTAACACAAATAAAGAAGATAATAATAAAAGATTAAATTAAAAGTTGATAACACAAATAATTAACTCATCTCGCAACTTGATTAAAATTTACTTAACGTTATAATTTTATTTCGTTTTCTATTCATTAAAAGCCAGCTATAATGACCTAAACCAAATTTCCCCTCATGACTAAGTGGTAAGTAATAAAAACCTTTAGAATATAAATCGATTGAACAAAAAAATAACATTAAAAAAATTTAAATTATTTTAAAAATTAATACTTTTTTTAATACGACTCATAAAATAAACGAATCGAAAGGATAGCTTTGCATTTCCATATACGAAATAAGACACAAACATTTATACTGTGAACAAAATAACAACAAAGATTTTTTTTATTTGCTATGTTGTTCGATAGTTCGTTTGAATTGTACAAAAATGGACTGGTATTCCTAATCTTGTGTATTTTATAATACAATGATTTAAAAATGCATTATTAAATTATATTAACAAATAACATTTCGTGCAGCGTTATCCAGAACGAGTGGAAAATGTATTGTAAAAATATTATGTACGTTGTTTGAATGACCACGTAAAATTATATTTTAATTTTTTTATTTTACTTTTACTTTAATGAAAAATTACGATTATTACTCCACTGACAACATAACACCGCACTACTTTCTAAACACGAAGGAAATAATTGATTTGTAAAAATTATACAAAATAAAAATTACAAAGTATTAATGAGATATAAATAATAAAATAAAAGTACTAATATCTGGTAAGCACAATATTTTATGTAAATTAATGGAACATTTAAAAACAGTAAATAACACGTGACTTAAAAAAGGTACCTCTTTACCGGTTTAATTTTTTAAATATTATTTTAAGTCAAATATACTAGTCGATTTTGCTTCCACTATTTGGCTTGACAGAGATATTTTCACCCGACAGATGACAGTGCGTTGACCGTTTAATGTAATAATTAAAATGTTGACAGTCGGATATCACAGAGCACTGAAACGGAAAGAAAAATGTCACTTACGAAAGAACTATTTTGTCCGGTAATTTATTTTGGGACAGAATTCACAAGTACGTCTGTTGTATATATTATATTATGAGGCAGCTGGGGTATAATATGTGTCTATTCAAATCGAAGAGTTTTCCTTTCCCGGGTGGAAGACATTTAATATAATCGTTTACGATCACCCGACCGAAGTCGATTGAAAAACATGAAATCCGGTCGCACGCAATCGTATAGCTGGTAGAAAAAAAAAACCACGCACTCGACCGCAGATGTTTTCAACTCAACGCAAGGATTGGGTTTTCAAGTATTGCACAACCTAAGATATCGGTAAGACGTTAATATTGCGCAAGCGTTTACAACATTATTTGTTCGTGTTATGAAAAATCTTTGAAACATCACGAATCGCGTGTACGTCAAATATATTTTATGCGTGTGTTGAACAAAAACTCTACGGTCGTTTCTAGAGAAAACCCAACGTGAAAAAGCATGCATCTACTTCCGGGGCCTATACAGCGATCGCTCTAAAAATAAAATTAAAAAAACAAAGTTAGAATGTGAAGGCTTTGGTAATAGACGTATAATATCGGCCGCATTTTGAAACATATTTTAAACAGTGGTAAAAAAAAAACGTTCTGAAGCTCGGGATAAAAATTATTCCGAAACAATGTTTGATATGTCGGTATGAAATTAAAACGAAAAACGAAATGGAGTGAAACGCCCAGGTCTGGTGAGACTCCGTTGTCGGATGAGATATAGAAATTAATGACTGATATTTCTGTATTGATCTTTTATACTTCAAACCGATACATAATTACTCTTAAAAAAAGATTGATAATAAATGAAGAATTTAAAATTTTATGATTTCCAAGTACAAAAATGTAACAGATACATATTTGTGATTTTTATCGTTTTGTCAAAATTTGATATACTCGTATAACCGCTCGTATTTTTTTTTTTTTTGAAACTTGGCTAATTTTTTTTATTAATCAGAAATATATATGTATGAAAAACATAATATTAAGTTGAAATTTTGTCTAACTAAAATTATTTTTTTGGTTTTCGAAAAAAAAAAGCTTAGAAAACACGAAAATTGTAATTTCTTATAAATATTTCGCTATACCAAGTGGACAACATTTCTTGTGGTTGTGATAATCGGCACTACCCTTTTGATCGAATTCACGTACACAGACTTTAGAAAAATATATAATGGGTGATCATTAGTGGTGAGGGTTCGAATCTCGGTTGAAGTTTGAAGTTTCTTACGATTTTTTCTCCGTTTTTCTCAGTTGGTCAGACGTCAACTGTTGATAAATTCAAATATTCACACCACTCCCGCGAAAGTACTAACCAGAACCTATTTCCTATGTTTTACTTTTCATTCGGAACAGTGGCGTATACATAACTTTTGTACGTGGAGGGGGATCATTTGCAAACAGATCATTATTTTTTTTTATTATTTTTTTACGTTTCTAACGCCCTCATATAAGAATATTATTTTACAACATTCAAAAAATGGCCTAGGGGAGGGATCCGACCTCCACATACCCCTCTCGTTGTATACGCCACTAGATTCGGAACAATGTTTTTGGTCGGACGAAAAAAAATAAAATTAAAATAAAACGCACACCGCGGTGTGCGTGTTCTTTTAACCGTCTCGTTTCGGTCAGTATCCGATTTGGAGAATAGGAAAACGCCGCGGGCTGTGACGTCTATTCGGGCGGACTGAGCGGGCCGGCCGCGAACGGAAACCGTACCGGACGTCGGGACCGACGGAGACGAGTATTGTTGAAACGTCGGAACGTCGCGGAACATCATCCACTTCCGGCGCGTGCGCGCACCGTTTCCGGATCGGGACGCGGGCGACGAAACCGAGACGGACCGCGTTTCGCGGTTAAATACCGTAAATACCGTGCCGGCGGTGAAGCCGAGGACGGAGCGCCGAAAAGTTTTGCTCGCCACCGGAAGTTGCCGAACAGTCGGCGCGCTCGTACACGGCGTACATTACGTCGTGTGCACCGCAATAATTACATATATTATTATTATTATACTGTAGAACAGTGACAGCAATAGTAGTGGTAATGGTGGTAGTAGTTGCGGTACACGATGTTACCCCGCGTGCAGCGTACCGCGGACCGGGTTACGGTTCAACGTTGCGTCTCGCATTCTCGTTTCCGAAACTTTTGTGCTGGACACACGGTGTTACGCGTCTTTTTTCCTATCGGCGATTCAAATGCACCAACGCGTCGTCCCTCTCCGCTGTGCTCGAGAATACCGCAGTACTCGCGGTACGCGGAAGCGACTTGCGTCGCGGCACGAACGTCCGATGAACGATTTGAAAACGTTATGTAAAAACATGCGTCTGCACTACGAAAACCAATGCGGTACCACGTGCAAGCGCTGTAGGACATCGTAATATTTCGACGCCCCGAGCACAGCATTCACTCTCTCGTGTAGCTCTCCGGTCCTGTCGGTGGCCTCTGGGCGCCAACACTTTCGGGCAGGTAGTAACCACCGAGTTTAGCGGTGCTACAAGAAACTATGTGTGAGCGAGGTCCCGAACAAGTCTATTTGCTCGGGGTATTCGATCTCCGATAAAAAAGAGTGGACTGTATGTGTAAAACTTTCTTATGTATATGTATATTTTTAATATAAAATACAATCAAGCAAAGTTATAATATATTAATAAATAAAACATGGTAATAAGAATAAAATGAAATAAAATAATAAATGAATAATTATATCATATAAATATAATAATAATTTTTATATCAATAAATGAATAATACAAAAATATTACCACGTACTGCGCCACTGCAACAGCCGACGATACATATTACGTGGCAACCACCGACGTAACGTAAGCTTTTTTGACTATATCTTCAGCCGTTGAAATTTCTGACGTTATGAGGTCGTCATCAATCTGGACGTAAGTCCTCATCGATGTCATTAATCAATCCGTTGTCTGTTTGTAGCTGTGTAGTAACGTCACAAAAACCTGTATGATGAAAGCAATTAGCAATCCCCGTCGATGTTACATTACACCAAGCTTTGTTCAGCATTATTATAGCATCCAAAACAGTTATTTTTGATTCTACTTGATTCTCAATATCCTCAATCATTTTGAGTACCAACTGATTCCGGCAATGATTTTTAATGTTCCTTATAACGCCCTGGTCCATCGGTTGAAGTACAATAGTTGTATTGGCGGGCAAAAATACAAGTTTAATAAATTTCAAATCCAATGATGGTTGTGCTGGACAGTTGTTCATCAACAGTAGATTTTTTTTTTCTTACGGCGTAACTCATCATCCCAATAATTAAGAGTTTTTTCAAAAATTGCTGAGGTCGTCCAAGCTTTGGTGTTATTTTCATAATGTACTGGAAGTGATGAAACTCCTTTAAAACACTGAGAGCTTTTCAACTTACCGATAACGGAGTTTTCTTTTATCAGTTCCGGTCATGTTGGCTGCCACTAAAACTGTTATTCTATCTTTGGATAATTTTTCACCCGAGCATTTTTCCCCTTTGAAGCGAAGAGTTTTATCGAGATTTAATTAAAAAAAAATACCGGCTTCATCGGCATTATAAATTTCATTATCACAGTAACCTGCTCGAAGGGATGGCCAAACCTTAGCCAGCCAATTAGAATATATTTCAGTATTAACTGCAAATGAATCACCTGAGATCTTTCTAAAAACAATGTTGTACCGCTGTCGGAAACGCTGAATCCAAGATGCAGAGCATTTGAAATTTTCTATTTTCATTTTTTCAGCCAGTTGGTCAATTTTTGCTTGTAAAATAGGACCTCTTATAGGCACATTTGGGCACCGTTGTTATTTGAACCATACTATTACAGCTTCTTCGAGGTCCTAATGCTGTGCAGTGCGCAGTCGTTTTGTTTTAAGTAACGTGGTTTAAAACATATTTTTCAACGTATCCCGATTATTCCATATTGTTGAAATCGTCAACGAAGAGGTGCCAAATTCTTTTGCGATTACGCTGTTTTTCTCACTATTTTTTAAACGACCGATTATACCTATTTTTTCGTCCAACGTAAATTGACGACGTGACATGGTGGACGTCTTCACACAACTGACGCTATTTGTAATTTTTATTGAGAACACCAGAATTTGTAGAAATCATATGGATTATTAATTAGTACCTAATCCATATCTATTATCTACAAAAATAAAGGTCTAAAGATAATATGTGAATGATTACCATCATAATATCAATTAATTATGGCCAAAAGTTCTTATGTTGCAGGTCCCTGTTCATAGTAACCAGTAGGTCAAGTTCGTTTTATTTTTCTTGTTATAGCCGATATCTCGTTATAATTATACTCATTGTAAACGTATATTTTAATATACAACCATATGGGCTTATGCCGGGACCTAGTGTTTTTCTCATTTTAAACAATATCTCATTCTAAGCGGTGCTCGTTGTAGTGATTTCTTCTGTACTTAGTTGTATAGACGTTAACATACCGCATTATACATTTACACGACCTCCATATCACTACTATGCATGTGTTACGGGTAAAGTTCGATAATTGGTGTTTTACACAATACTCGGGTAAAGTACACCTTGTTCATATGAAAACAGTGCCATCACAAGCTTTTACGAGGCGCTAGGCAAATGCAGTACAATTAAACCTAAATATATTTAACTATTCTAACTTGACAAATTGTGGGCTCCGGATTTATTTTAAGTTTAAAAGTAGTTTAAAATTATTATACAATATCAATGCACACAATTTATCAAAATGTGTAATTTTATTAATATTATCTACAATTGATATTTTTTCGTATTTTATTTTATGAAAACACTTTATCCACTCAAAGATAGATAATACCCAAATCACCCCTTTAATGTACCTACAAAATAATCATTTTACAAATATTTTTAATTCATTCAATATACCTAAGTATTGTTCATATTATCCGGGTGATATGTACATTTCTCGGTTTTTCGTACTCTACCCATAACATATAAACAACAATTGAAGACGCAGTTCTATACTATTTTAACGATATAGTTGTCATAAGGATACGACCAGCTGAAATATACCATATGTCTGCAAGAACTGGAAGAAAACGCATTTTCACAGCACTTTGTTGTTAATATTAACAAACCGCTGATTGTGAAGCCCTCAAGTATCAAACGTCAGAGAAAAGGTCCTTAAATTCGAAATAACTCGCCGTGAAACATATAAGTCTTTACTGAATGTAATAAATTAAAATAGTGATATTCTGATTTTCGGTTTGTGACAAACTACGTTTCATTTTCGGTTGTTACAATAAAGGTTACAATTTGATTACACGCGTATAATATCGCAGTAAGGCCTTGTGCAACTGTGCAAGCGTTGTTTTTGCATGAATTACAATAATTATAATTTTTACGACCAACATCTGCACATGTTTACAACCAGAGAAACTTTTAATATTCAAATAAACAACCGTGCTAAGACTACAAATGCTAATACCGAAACAGACAAATCCGCCCGAAATAAATACGGGAAGCAATAACTCTTTGAACAAATTTTACAGGATTATAACCGTATTATTAGTCCGTATGACCTAGTTAAACATTTAAGTTCTCAAACCAATTACATGGAATTCAATTAAAATATCATAGAGAATTTTATGAAGGACTAGAAAGAAATATTAAATTGTATTATTACTGTTCAAGATTCAACACAATATAAGAAATAATTTCATTGAGTAATATTAAAACGGTTCATTAATTAATAAATATCACAAAAATTATTTTAATGATAAACACACTATTATTATAATGTCTTAATCAATTTAATTTTATTAAGTTATATTAAAGGCGGGGAATAGTTATATTCTTGTGCGGCAGTAACATACTTATAAATAGGAATCCGCTACGGTACGGTACGGCCGTCCAACCATTTACTTCTATTAGATAATATGATTAAATTATAAATACATCCTTAGTGAACGGATGGTAAAAAGAGCTTTGTAAATTTCAACCAGCATTTTTGAATTTCTTTTAGCTAAAAGAAAAATTGCAAATTTTAGAAATAAAAACCTCAACCACTTCAGATGAATAAGTTTGTGACCATGTAATATAAAAACATGTGAAGAATTTATCTCGTATATCGTTATAAAAACTTAGTTGAAAATAGTATTATTTATAAATATTGATTTTTGGCTTTTATATTATTAATTTTAAATTTGAAATTCAACAAACAGTCTTTATATTAACTAAATAAGTTACTTAATAATAATTTTATAAAAGTATAAATAAAAAAATTAAAAATTCTTGTATTTTTTAAATAACTAAAAAAAAGTAAAAAGTATTTAATAATAAAAACTATTTACTTACGTGATTTACGATAGGTAAATAATTATTCACAATTCACATTTTTTTCTTAATTAATGAGAAATTATAACAATAACAAGTAAAACAACTATTTTTATCAATATGGATATTTAATAAGTTTAATATACTATTATTATTAGAGTTCGGGACTTGTTGCAATCACATATTTATTTTTTTAATTACTATAGAATAATCTAAGTAAAATATAAATTTGTTTTAAGACTTAATGGACTGAAATACTAAAATTTGAATTTCATATTTTTGCATAATTTTCCATTTTTTAAACAATATGCATATTAGACAGATTTTTACAATTGAATTGTTATTTAAATCATATTTACTCATTTTTATTTTTTAATTGAAGTAAATATATTCTATAGGTTACCATTATTTTTACATTTTATATAATACTTAAATGCTAAAATTTACTAAAATTTTAATTTAATTTTTTTTTTTTTTAATTTAAATTCATATTATAAAAACATTTAGTTGCATATTTTGGTTATTTTAAGTGTATATGTATATGCATATTTCCTATAATTTGTATGCTCTCAAAACCTAATGTTCATTATTCTTGGAAATCGTATACGTAAATACGTGATTCAACTTGTTTTTTAACATAAATAATAAAATTTGGACTTTGAAAACTAAATATCACTGTTTGGAATGACGTAAACAAAATATAACTTTCTTTTACAACTTTTTTCGCTCTAGTAGACTGTCGCTTATGCCAATCAACAATGTCGCTTACACCAGTTATGCCATTAACAAATTTATTTCATGGCATTTACACTTAAATTTATAGAGGAAAAATTACTCATTTCGAATAAAGTAGTAATTTTAAACGTTGATAAATCTGATTTTTCTGAATTTTTTATAAAAAAAATATCATTTTGGCCAAAAATTTCGCTTACGCCTTTTACCAATTTGAGATCAATATGCAGCTCCTAATCAGTTAATGAATTTTATAGTGACGTTAAATTGATTTTTCTCCTAATCTAAATTCCAAAGATTAAAAATATACTTTTTGTAAAAATATTTGTTTTTAGTAAAAATAATCGGAATTACGAGTATAAGGAAGTGTTGAATAGTGCATTCAACTTCTACACATAATATAATGAACATCAAAGTAATGAATATAATTACTATATGGTATGTTTAAATATCAATTTCAACCCAAAATAGTAAATTATTTTTAACTAAATTAAGTAACTTCATTTTCTGATGAACCTTTAGTTAATAAAACAAATAAGTAACTTTTAACTTAAAACTTAATACGCTTTTCTCTAGACAAATTTTAAACTGAAAGAGTTACAAAAACGTGTTAACTTGACCAACCTTAAAGACAGCTTAGTATAATAATTTTATACTGAATGCAATCTATGACTTTTTCCCTTAATCGGGCGCGATTTACGTTTATCCGAGAGCAACGGGATTGTTGGTATAGCCCTCGGCCATTATAATATAGGCTATATAGGCCATTTATCCGCTTGGTTCATTGTAGGGATGACGGAAGCAGGGCCGTAGGAGATGGATATCTGAAACAGCGACGATGTATTTAAAGCGTGTGTCTGTGGGTGTGCTATCACGCGGTTCACTGTAATGGTTTTATGAGCACGCATAGACATGGCGTCGGGAAAACCCGACGGCGGTGATAGCGTTTAAATTGTATGTACTCGCAATCAAAAGGATTAGAAACCTTTAAACTATTAATACACGTACGCTCCTAGAAAGGGCTACCTCAAAGTTCGTCGAGCGTTTGTTCGCAAGTCGAAACTACAAACAACGCACGCAGGTATCACAAATTATTATGTTATTCAGTATCTAAAACCATGTGTATCACGCGGCACACTTTATGTAGGTACTACGATGGGTTTAAAGTTTATGATACAGTCTCATCCGTGGGGTCGCGAAAACCGTTGCCTACTTACACGAGCACGGATACCGTGAGATCATTTTATACCATTATAAATACAGAAAACTGAACAAAATTGTATACATTAGAAGACGGTATAGATGCTTAATAAGTAGGTTAATATGTAATATGAAGTTGTTGCATTTGAAACTTTTTTTTCTATTGTTCAGGTATATTGCTAAGTAGGTTAGATATAGGTTATATTCGTATAATATTGGTAAATAAACCATTTTATTGCTATTTTCAAGTGCAGCTTTGAGTATTTTTACAATAAAAATGTAATTTTTAAGTACAATTTTGGATATTTTTACTGCAATATTGCAGTTAGTTTTAATGCATTTTAGTACAAAAACTTTCGAGCCCTACTAACAAATTTCTGTATTTGTAGTATTTACATATTATCAAGAAGAAGTTAGAATCAATGTTATTATGTACTAAATTATCGATTTCCGTGTTCAAAAATGGTTCAACCTAGAGAAACGAGCTATTTGGAGTTAT